CCCCCCGGGTTCGGTGCCGGAGAGCCGCGGGCGGCCCAGGCACGGTGGGGCTGGGGGCTGCTTCCATCAAATGGCTTCGTGCTGGTGGACGCCGGGCCTGGGCGCCGCAAGAGGCGGTTGTTAATTTAAATGCTGGATCAAATGTCAGTGTCGTTTGATTCTCGTCACGCTGGCTGTGTCCTCCAGAGCCTGCCTCGGTGTTCGTCTCGTTAAAGAGTCCCTGTTAGTTTAACCATAAAGTAATAACTGTGTTTAATATTAAACTAACAATGTAGTTCAAATAAGCTGATGCATATTCATGTTTGGGAGGCAACTTCATTCCTCGGTAATGACTCATCAAATGTAAAATCGGGCATGTTAGCTTCTAATTAAAAAGACTATTCACAAAGCTAAGACCAAACTGGCTTTCACAATAAACTAATCGCTACGATTTTGAAGCCTCAGCTGCTTGAGAAATATTTCTGCTTAAGCCTGGAAAATGGAAAGGTGACATTTGAAAGACGTTCTGCTGTGTGAAAGCCTCAGCTAATTTCAAATTCCTCGAGTTCCTGCTGCATCTGTTGAGGGCAGAAGTGCTGAATCTTGGCTGCTGAGGCTTTAAAGCGAATGATAAATGAGCGCTGCTGTCAGGACTCTGTCCTTGGGTTGTGCAAGGCCAGCAAAGCTCGGCGCTGCTAAAAGCCTGGCGCGGTGCAGCATCGGATGTTCCACCAGTTATTACTATTTAGTTCCACAAAACTGAAGCAATTTGGTGTCGGACCTGCTGAAAAGGATGTTGCCACTAGCAACTTCAAACACTAAATAACTGAGGGCTGTAATTCTGACCAACCGCGCTGGCAGACCCTGTATTTAGGGCTGACTAATCTGAAACAAGTAACCTAAAAGGCAGTTATTTATTGCGTGCTCTTGTTGTGGGAGGTGAGAAGAGGCAGGTCAGGATGCAGGCAGGGTTTGCTCGCGCCTGGCTGTCAGAGTCAATTATCCGAACCACACGTAATGTGAGGTGCTGTTTTGGGAAGCAGGTCAGCAGCTGCCTAACCCTCTAAATATCCGACCCTCTGGGGAAAACGCATACCTGGACCCACGGCTGCAGCTGGGGAGATGTGCTTCGGGTTGAGACTGGTTGGCTGAAGCCTGCTGTCCTCAGGGAGGCGGCAAGGCTCCCGGCTCCCTGGTGCTCTGCAGGTTGGAGCTTTTTTGGCTGATTTGGGACAAGACTGACTTGAGCAGTTGGATTTATTTTTTTCCCTCCTTTTCTGAATGCATCTCATGGGTGGACCTGTAAACCTGGGGAGCTCCATAAGCCTGAAGCTTACGGGTCTGAAATGGTGCAGGTCCTGAGCCATGCCTAGAAAGGGGTTAAGCAGATGTTCTTTAGGGCTAGGAAATTAATCTGGAATGAGATCTTCTCCAAGCACTGGTCCTAGCTCTGCATCTAACACTTTGTGACCTATATCTTGTCTCTCTAAGCCTAATAGCACAAAACTCTTAACTCCACAAGTAGTGCTGGGGCTGTGCCTCAGGTGTCTGATGGGTTGGCAACAACTGCACACCAGGAACTTGCTTGGATCGACTGCTTGATATGTGTTCTGTATGGGGGAAAAGCCCAGTGCTGCTTTTTAGGAGTAAATCCAGCTTTCAGACTGTCTCCCTTTGAGAACAGCTGCGTTCATGGCTGGATTGGATGTGCTGGTGGGGACTTGGGACTTCTGATGGTGAATAGCTCACTAGTTAACCATTGCCTGACATATCACCATTTGGTTGGCAAGGAGCCCAGGCATGTTTCTAGCCGGAGCAGCAGTGGCTCATGTCAGGGAGTAACAGGGGAAGCACTAGCAGAGAAGCTGCATCGTGAGATTTAACACTCTCCAAGTTTAAAAACGCTCATTGGTTTGTACCGAGATATCTTCTGTTTGCAAGAACACCTGCGGGCAGCAGAAGCTTGCTGGTGGCCAAGAGGCCTGTGACATGCTAAGGGTTGCATGCTGTAGTCCTTCGCCTTCATGTATTGTTTCTTCTAAACCGAACTTGCTGAGGGGCAGTTTTACAGCCGCTGAGACTCACTGAAGCTGCGATGCTCTGGTGTCCCCAAAACTGCTCAGGGCCATGCCCACCAAACGGGTTTTGGCCCCTCTGATAAAAGCTTTGAATTTTAGTGGGGCCTCTCTTGAACTAGGGCAGCCTCGCAGGGCTGAGAAGCCCAGTCAGACTGGCTTCTAGTAATATAACTTGTCCATTTGTATCCCAGGCTTTGGCTCTTTCAAGCTCCAGCCTTGCTTCAAGCACCGGGTGAGCAGGCTGGCTAGCTGGGACTCACAGGACAGCGGGTAATTGCTAGAGAAACATGAAAGCAGGATGAGAGGTGGGAAGAGCTGCTGGTGGAAGATGTGCACTTAATCTTCCTGGGATCTTTGAGCTCAGTTAAACTCAAATTATAAGCTGTGTCCAGAGAGTTTATTTTATGGTCTTGGGGTTATTTCAGCCTCCTTGCCTGTTAAGTAATCAGGCAAGTGATTCAGCTTCACTCTAAATGAACAAAGCTTTGGAGGTACCGGTGGGTGTGCCAGGACTGAGCAGGCAGCATTAAAATCACTGGAGTAACACCCGCAAGATGAAAGCTGCCTCTTGTGCTTGATAGCATGCCAAGTTCGGCACGAAGCTCTGACACACTGGAAATTGTTAGGATATACTTACTAGTTAGGACATGAACTTGCATACGCCTGCCTGGGGCTTCTGAGCAGTTCGCCAGATCTCGATTTGCCTTTAATGAATCTCGACAGGCAAAAGGGATGGCTAAAAGGAGTGAGCCACCCTGATTAAATCAACAAGGACTGCTGCAGACTGTGCTGCCGCCTTGTATTTGGAGTCCGTTTTGGATCAGCTGGCTGCAGCCATGGGGGGATGAAGGGGGCAGGGACCACCCCAAAGAACAGGCTCAGAGAAGCTCTCGGCTTTGGTGGGGGGAAGGAGGGGAAGAGCAGACAGCTGTACGGGAAGCAGAACCAGCTGTTCATGTGCAGTAAGAGCCCTCTAATGCAAGGGAATAAGTGAAGGAGAGCCACCCCCAGCTGCTGGCAAGACTCTGGATGCTTTCCAAAGTGACCTATTTCTAATGGATTAGCTTTTTATTTCACTGTCTTGCACTGGAGTGACCCATATAAGCGCAGGGAGTGAATCCTGCTGCTGTAACCAGGCTGCTCCAAGAATGCTTTCTTGCTTCTCACTGACTCTCTTTGTATCTCAGGTTGTCCGTAGTCGCCTGGAGAAGAAAGGAATCGCAGTCCATAACGTAAGGTTGAATGGCTCAGCAGCTAGTCACGTTCTACATCAAGACAGTGGCTTGGGGTACAAAGACCTAGATCTCATCTTTGGTGTAGATCTGAAGACCGAAGATGTCTTCCAGCTGGTTAAAGATGTGGTCATGGACTGCCTTCTTGACTTCCTCCCAGAAGGTGTCAACAAAGACAAGATCACCCCCATGACTCTGAAGGAGGCGTATGTGCAGAAGCTTGTGAAGGTGTGCAACGAAACTGACCGCTGGAGCCTCATATCGCTCTCCAACAACAGCGGGAAGAACGTGGAACTTAAATTCGTGGACTCTCTCAGACGGCAGTTCGAGTTCAGTGTGGATTCCTTCCAGATCATCCTGGATTCGCTTCTGCTGTTTGGGGAGTGTTCAGAGAACCCCATGGCTGAGAACTTCCACCCCACGGTCACTGGGGAGAGCATGTACGGCGACTTTGAGGAGGCAATGGACCATCTCCGGAACAGGGTGATCGCCACAAGGAACCCAGAGGAGATCAGAGGTGGGGGGCTTCTGAAATACTGCAACCTCTTGGTGAGGGGGTTTAAGCCCAAATCAGAAGTGGATATGAAGGCGCTACAGAGATACATGTGCTCCAGGTTTTTCATAGACTTCTCTGACATTGGTGAGCAGCAGAGGAAGCTGGAGTGCTACCTCCAGAGCCACTTTGTTGGGATGGAGAGCAAAAGATATGACTATTTGATGACCCTCCACAGGGTGGTCAATGAGAGCACAGTCTGCCTTATGGGACACGAAAGGAGGCAGACCCTGAACCTCATTGCCATGCTGGCTGTGAGAGTCCTGACTGAGCAGAACATCCCCACAGTCACAAACGTTACCTGCTACTACCAACCAGCTCCTTATGTCAGTGAAATAAACTTCAACTACTACGTCACCCACGTGCAGCCCTTCCTGCCTTGCAATCAGTCTTACCCAACGTGGCTTCCCTGTAACTGAGCCAGGACAAACTTCAGGGTCTGTCCTCCAAGGTACTTCCTTGCCTTGGGGAGGGGGGGAGGCAAAAAAAAGACCTTTCTAGAACTGCAACAAAAGAAACTTCCTGGACTCTTGCTTGAGTGTCTTGTTCCTGGGGTTGTTGGAACGAGGCCTGTCTGCTGTACACTGTGATGGGAAGTGCAGTGTTATGGAAACTAGATGACTTGGACGTTTACGGGAAGACTCAATCGCTTATGAATTCTGGAGGCAATGGGGGAGGGTGGGGTGTGTGAGGGGAGACTGTAGAATTACACTAAGGTAGAGCTGCACTGCCCTGAAATGGATCTGAATTGGTTTTTTTTAGTGCGGGAGGTGTTCCGGGTGTGCAGACTTGTGGTTTCTGAAGATAGAAGCCAGAGTGGCTAATTCCTTTGAAGGACCAAAGAATCCTGTTTAAGTGCCTGTAACAATATAAACACAACTGTACTGTAAACCTTATTTTTTTTGCAGGGGCTGACATCCTAAGAGCTTGAGTGGGGATGTCCAAAGAGGCAAAACGTTTCTGTTGTGGGGGGGAGGGTCGTAAGATCATTTCTAGTAACCTCGCTGAAGCAAGAATGGGACTGCAGGTTACATGTTGCTGAGGTTTTTTGGCATGGCTTGCTGCCTATGAAGGACCGGCTGTAGCAAATAGCTGTCAAAGTGGAGTTGCATAAGCAGGGGTGGGCTTTGAATGACTACCTGTAAATGCCTAAAACTGGGGACACTGGGCGGGGGGGGAGTGCATGGTGGAAAATGCTGTGCAGAGCTTTATGGAGAAAAGACAGCAGGGACCTACATATGAATTTACTCAAGCTCCCGAGTCTGCAGTGCCAAAAAGTAATCATGTACATAAATGATGAGGCAGAAGATCTGTCCAGGAGCCTGCCCCAGGCTACCGTACCTGATCGTGTATTTTCTAGGGGAATTTGAAATGCTGCTTATTTTTTTGGCATGCAAGTGTGGTTTTAATGCACAAAGCCAGAGGCCAGCTGGGTTATCTGGGAAGATGAGGCTTGTCCTTTGAAGCACAAACCAGCTGGTTCACTAGTCAGTTATCTCCAGCTGTTGCTGTGATGGGGGCTGGAGCCTGTGTCCTGCTGGGAGATAGGCAGACCGCTTCCAGACTCCAGCCTCCTATGGCTGGAGATCTTCCCTCTGCCCTCGGGCAGGTTCTGTCTTCAAAAGCAGCCTATTTCCAGCTATGTGATTCCACATATGAGCCACTGATAGCATTTGAAATTCATTCTCTAGCAAGAAATGGAGCTTGGGCAGCGGGGGGTTGTGTAAAAGTCAATTGGCCTTAGGAAAAAGTATGTCTTCTCTAAACAAACCCTCTTGTGTCTTGAGGGTTTGGCTCTCTTAGTCAAACGTGGCTTTGAAGTTGTTGGGTGTCTAGAGCACAAACAGTCTTTCACTGTGGTGCCTGGATTGCCATGCCCGTCCTTGTGAAACATCATCTCAGACTTAACTATGCACGGATGGAGAGGTGGGCGAGCAAGCAGGCGCTCCCTAGAGATGCTGCTCTGGGAACACCGCGGCTTCGTGGTGCTTCCTCCAAGGCTGACATACTTGAGTATCTTTACTAACTTGTGGTTTTTTTGTTCTTGTGACAAAACTGTAATAGCTGGGCAGATTGAATGCTCTAATAAAGACTAGATCCTTGGAATGTGTATAGCCAGATTGCTACCTTTTTTGGGGTAGGGGCGATGTGGAGTGGGTATAAGGGGTGGGGGGAGTGATTTGGGGGCTCTTGCACTTAGCATGAACTAACCAATTTGAAACTGGTCCAGCTTTGCTTCCTATCCAGTCAGAGCTGAAGAAGAGTCACTAACGATGTAGTTATTACAGGTTTAACTGCCCTCCTGTAGAACAGCTTTGCCTTCACGGACAAGGCTGGTGTGTGGACTCTGCCACAGCCCGGGAACTCCCTGGTGCCCAGAGCCTAATCCCTGTGGTGGGAGCTTGAGATTTTCAGTGCAAGGTAAAACTGGTTTAAGGGCTGCTTTTGAGATCCTAAGTGTGCCACCTTCATGGCTTCAAGGGAAGATATTTTTTGTTCTTGCATTTTAAACTTCAGATGAACATAGATGACATGTAGCATGCTTTTTTTTTTTACAGGCTGCTTACCCTCTACCCACAGACACATAGACGCACTAAACTGAGATTCCCTCCTTCCCTTTAAGATGTCAAAAAGATTCCCTACAGCCAACAGCTCGACAGGGCAACTTGCGTTGAGATTGCACTTTTGATTTACGGAGTGTGTGTGGTGGGACTCTTGTGAATGGGTTGAATCTGAATTTTTCTAGACCTTGCAGTGATACTGTGCTGCCTCCTGTGAGGGGGCAATTGGAAGATTCCGGTAGCTTGAATGGCACTTGATTTTGTTTTAAATGTTTTTTTTCCTACACCTGTATCACTTGTCATGCAATGGGCTTGACATAGACTCACTAGATTCTTTAGAATCTGTTACAAATAAATACAGTGTATTCAAATTTGTTGGATTTTTATTTGCTTGTCCATCTGGGTAATGTGGTGTTGAGATGGCTGACCCTACTCCTGCCAAGAACCAGGCTCTGAACCAACTGGTCGCCTCAAGAGGAGCGAGCTGAGTACAGGTTCTGGAGGTGGCCGGGTGCTGCGGGTATGCTGGGCTGCTCGGTCCCTCAAACCAAAGCAGCTACGGAGCCTGGGAAGCCTGTAGCTGTTGGCAGGTCGCTGGGTGGCCGAGGGAGGTTTCTATTTATAACACTGTTCTTTAGTGTTGTGCATCTTCCCTTTTCCTGGTGGCTCCTCAGGTTGCTGGGGGGGGAGGGTGGCCCGATGCGGCAGCCTGCTCGGTGGCGGTGGTGGTCTGAGGGTCCTTGTCTTGGGACAGCACTGGGAGACTCTCGCTGCTGGCTTTCCATGACTTCATTCTTGTCTGCTGATGGTCATGAACAGCAAGAGGATGCTTGAGTGATTAAGACTTGCTTATTTTGTGTAGCTGACCCACCTGCAGAGTGGTTCCTCTTGGAAAGGGGAGGGCGAGAGGCTCTGAAAGGTTTATCTCCCAAAAAAGCTTGGATCTGCTGGTGTTCAGGCCCGATTCCTGTGTGATGGCTGAAAGCTGCCTGCCTGTAGCTGGTGCAAGCTCTCCAGCTCTGGCGGCCCTCCAGCCTTAGATGAAGTTTCACTTCCCCTTGTCAAGCTACAGGCAGTTCTGGTTCCACTGCAACAATCGAGCTGATGATGTGCCAGTCCCGCTTTGGGACAAACTTGCTGGCTCTGCATCTCCAAATTTTTACAGTCCAGGGCCAAGGTTCCCTCTGACGACAGGTCTGGGTTGTTCTTGCTGGGCTGGCACCCTGCACGACTGTGTCCCTGTTGCCTGCTTGAGTAGGACTCTGCTCTTGCGGGGCTGATTTCTCTCCAAACCTGTTGGCAGCGAGGTGGGATGCTTGCCTCTTGCTGGCACGCAACCCAGCACGAAGCTCCTGCCTTCCCTGAGCGTCTCCTGTATGGGAGTGGCTCTAAAATATCTGCTTAGTTTGCCAGCTGTCTTCTCGGTGCCAGTGGCCGGTCCTGTTGATGCTCTGGTGAATAAGCTGCCTCTGGATTTCTGACCCTGAGCAGAGCAGCAAAAGCCCTGACAGACGGCTTGTCATTGTTGGAGCGGATCAGACTGTACAAAAGGATGTTCGTGGAAAGTACTAGTTGTGATCAGAAAGGAGCTATCAATGTTTACAACTGAGATTTGGATCCCTCTTTTGTTAATTACCAAATAAAAAAAACCACCATATATTTTCTCACAGCCTGTAGTCTGTCATTATTTTTCTCTTTGAACAGAGGGTGATGGACAAGTTGGGATGTGCCCGAGTATCTGGTGCATAAGATTTGGACTCCAGTTGATGGGTGTGTTGGTGTGTGCTGGGTGCCCGAGTGCTTCTCGGCCTCGGCGCTAGCGCTCTGCTCCTAGGAAAGACGTGGGGTGGCTGTGGCTCTGCCCCAGCAATTCCCTGGTTTTAGCCCACTGGTGTTCTGCCTGAGGCAGACTGGTCTAGGTTACGCTGGCAGTGCCCGGCTCAGATGGCAGAAATCGGGAGCAGAGAAGCCCAGGCTGCAGTCTGCCCGTGAGCACGGCAGGACGGTACGGCCCGTGCCCTGCAGCACCTCTGCAAAGGGCTGGTGGGTGACTGATGCCTTGAGACGTGTCCAAAAATACTCAGTGGTGTTTCGGCTTGGTCGTTTCCAGGGCTTGTGAGGCAGGGTTTACATCTGCAGACCTGCCCACAGCAGCTTTTCTTCTGGAAGGACATCTGGCTGAGCTCCAAAATCGCTGAAACAGGAGGAATTTGTCTTGAATCTCCAGAATACAAGCAGCATCTTGCTCCAGCCTTCCTGCTTTCAGCTGTCCTTAATCCGTCGGCTCACTGCCGAGGGTGGCACCATCTATGTGCAGGCGGGTAGCTAGACCCAGCGTGGCTTTCAAATTGCATCTCAGTCTCTCTAATTAGCCTCTCTCGTAGTATGCCAGTGTTTCTACCCAGCTGCCCTCCTCGGTAGCAGCTCAGGCAGCGCGGGTGTTAACTCTGCTATTTGAGATCATGCAGAATGAGAGAACAGTCTGTCTGTGTGGCTCCGCTTTCCATTTATAGCTGTATTTAGGCGATCCAGCACACGGACCCTTGTGCTCTGACGCCTGGTGCCAAGCACGAGACAAATGCTTCATTGATATGTACATACCGGGAGGGCGGTTTGCTCCCAGCAGCCCTGGCAGCGGAGCTGAGCTGCCGGAGGATGGCACAAAGTTGGTCCCCTTTGCCGCAGTCCCGAGGCCGGGGAGCAGCTGAGCTTTGGTGGGGTGAAGGCTGATAGTGAGAAACGTGCGGCGTGCAGTTTGTGTTCTGTCATTGAACCCTCCTATCTTATCTTCTGGCCCTGTCTGCTGGGGGTTCTGCTTTAGGCTGTGTTACAAATGGGATTTCAGCTTATGTTAGAGC